AAAATATCCGCTAATAATAAAAATGCAAGTGGTAGAAATTTCGAAAGTAACCCACTTACGAAATTTCTACAACAACAACAATACGTTGCATTCCTAAGTAATGTTTAGGAAATGCAACAGATATTCAAGTGGAATTTTGTTTATGTGCAATAAATTATTTTTGGGTCACAATATCGATTAGTATTGAATGTAAATTTTGAATATATAAATTGTACTTATAAAATTTTTGGTTCAGAATAAATTTGTCTTTGAAAGTATACACAACGCACCGTGTTTTATTTAATTTTTCTACACTGAGTTAAGACCGAACCTTAACTCAGGCTCTCCATGCACCATGGATTGGACTTGACCATGGACTGCTCCAAGGGCGTATGATTCCTTGTTCTAACAATGTTAAAAATTCTTCTGGGATTACTTTTACATTTCACTGTTCAAAATTCTTCTTGGATTGCTTTTACATTTTTTGTTGAGTAACGACGTGACCTCTCATGTACCGGCTGATCATTGGTGACTATTTAGTGATAGACTAAAGAGGTGTCCGGAAAGCTGTATATATTCGCACTGCACAAATTGACATACTTTATGATAATTTCAAAGAATTTGGAGTTTGGATCTGACAAAGTCCGTGTATACACGGACTACGTCAATGTAGTCTTTACTACGTCAATTGAAAACAGTTTGGGATCTAATAAGCGCTCGATTGAATATCTGGAATTAGACCGTATTTGGTTAAAAGGTCTGCCTCGAGAATTGGAGAATTGACATCTGCTATGATAAACATACATGTGAAGTTGCGTCGTAAACCAAAGATCAAGTCTAAGTCTTTTGGTATCGTACGTCGTAATGCGCGATTTGTTTGCTGCAAACAGTTTTAGATCATCTGGAATTAAAATGCGTCTTCTTGAAATTGCTGTTAACGGGTCGATTAGAAAATTCATGTTTGGAATAATATCTGCTATATGTCAACAAGCTTCTTTAGTGCACCCTCCCACATGTTGTCGTTACTGCACTTGTGGGTGACAACGATTTTAAATTTCCTTCTGCTTAACGTTGACTACCTGACAGCCAAATTTATATGTTTTGAGGCATTTATTAGCAACTGCTCCAAATTTGATATGATTGTAGTACACTTTACGATCGTCACGTTGATTCTTAAACGGCTTTCTGCTGGCATTGCGACCTCTGCTTGTGCTATGCGAGTTTGCTATCCGGCTGGCTTAATTATTATTTCGCTTAATTTAGCAACCAGATGTTGTAGTGATATCTCTAAAGCTGTTACACGTGCTTCCAGATCTTATTCATCCGTACTGCTGCGAATTCTGTTGAGATCGACATTACATAATGTGGCGTAGGCATGTTGTCGCTTATTTTGTCAGCCGTAAGATTAACATAGTTGAAATCGCGTGCTGATAAAATGCATCGTTTATTACTTAGCAAACGCTGCAGCCAAAGCGCTGACAAAGCGTCCTCAGATATGTTTGATGCTGCAAAATCTCATATCTCCTGTAGTTACTGCGTTGTTATGTTTGTGTTTTTTATCATCTAGTTTCATAGTTCATAGTTCTTTTTAAATGAAATTATTAGCTAGCAGACCAAAACCAATAAATAGCTTTTATGTACGTCTGCAAGTACTTTTATGTTCACCTAATCTCTTAGATAATTTTTACTTTGACAATCCTATATAAGATTTATTGCAGTCATTGCAATTAATCTTATATATTAGATTTGACAATTTTTCTTTTTCTCTTGATCTTATAGGTTTAAGAAGTTGTTTTTAAACTATATAAAACAAAATCAATTATTTGTTCTTCTTTGAGAAGCTTAGATATTTTTTGAAACAATACTGGAATGTTTGGGAATGTGCGGCTTTTTTTTAATTATATTTGTATTGTTCACTATTGTCTTTTTAACTACTTGTATATGTTTATTTGATTGCAATATTTTGTTAATGAAATATTTGGGTTAGTTATTGTTATGAATTTTGTTTAATTTGTTTGATATTATCTTCCATTAATATTTCATCACTTAAAGCTTTAATTCTGTTTATAAGGTTTCTAACAGTATTTACTTCTGATATATTGGATGATTAGATAAAAAATTAAGCAATCTACCTATAGATGTAGGTTTCTTATACCAGTTGGTGACAATCTTGTTGTTAGTTCTTATTACCATTATATCTAAGAAAGGAATTTTTCTATTATTTTCAATTCCATATGTGAATTGAATGTGCGGGTTAACATTATTGAAAACTGCATCAGTATTTTTAACTTTGTCCTTATGTATTGCAAATAAAATGTCATCAAGGTAATGCAGAGCTAATGTTACTTCAAATGGTAATTTTTCTAGAACTGTTGAAATTATAATCTCCATAATGAAGTTAGCTAGTGATGGTGATGCTGGATTTCCCATTGATATACCGTCCAATTGATGTATAATTTTTTTATTAAATTTAAAAAACTATTGTTAAAAATAAATAAAATAATTTCTTTGAATTTGTCTTTTGGAATTGTCGTAAAACAACTTATAAAACACCAGTATTTTTTGATCATATATATCACCAAGGTTTTGGGAATATTGGGAAACAGGGATATTACATCTAATGATATTAATATGTATCCATCTGGAATATTCGTCTTTTTTAATATCTCAATTGCTTCGTACGAGTTTTTAATACTACGGTGGAAAGTGAAACACATTTTTGAGAATATTTTATGAATAAATGTGGATAAGTTATAAGTAGGTGAATTATGTTACAAATGACGGATCTATAGGCTATTTTTCCTACTTTATAAGTTTTTCTGAGACTCTATGTTTTGGGACTTAGTGTGCTTTTTTAATTGATACAACCAGGGTTCAGAAAAACACTGTGCTGTGCACAAAAATGCAAAACACCACGCACAAATGTTGTGCGATTCTAAATAAAATTTCACACCACAAATGTGGTGTGCGAAAATTTTTGTGCACATCTTAAGTGCCACATCTTGTGTGCACAAACAAAACGCACATTTCACACGAATGTGGTGGAGTGAAATAAAACTCGCACACGCATTCGGTGTTTGTGCCGAAGTTATTTCGCACAGCACATTGTGTGTGCGGCAGCCAGCTTGCTCTCGCACACAACGTGTGCAGAAAAGAATACGAGGAGCACATTTTGTGTGCAGACTCGAAAATAAAAATGCACCCAAATGTGCGGAGACGAAATGTCTACTGCACATTTGTGTGAAATGATGATTTAAAAGCGCAGAATATTATGACAAATATCGCAGCAAAATAGTACTTAAAACTGATTTGTTTTAATTTTGGTCTTAATACGAAATATTTTATTGAAGAAATGATTTTGTATTTATATTTTAATTTTGAATTTATTATTAGATTTACATTTATTGCTTATATTACTTATTATTTTAAGGTTTACTAATTTAAAACATGGGAATAAAGTTAATTTCACAATGTACTTGAAAACTTTGTTATATTAAATAGGTACATGAATTTAATAGAGAAAGAGTATTTGTTTCAAAATGTTATAAGTAAAGAGGATCGGTTTTACGGATCGTACTTTGAAAAAATTATATATATCAATTTTGGACTACTTCATAAAATTTTATTTAATAGTAAGTTGTACACTAAGATTCGTTAGTAAGGTTATAAAAACCAAATTAAATATTTTTTACAACAACATAAATTAATTTTGTTATTAGATTTCACTTAATTTTTTATCTTTAATTACAGCTTAAATTTAACGAAGTTATTGAAATAATTCAATAATTTAATATCTTAATTTCTTATTAAAAAATATATAATTTTTATTACATATTTTTTGAAGTAAATTTTCATTTAATCTTATTAATAACATTGCTGAAATATTTTTTTCACTTAAATTATATCTTTGGTTACTTAGCACAGTAGAAAGGGCGCTAAAATCCTGCTACCTGTTCAAGAAAATATTTTCCTTATCTTTCGCGTTTTTTAATGAATGTTAGATACTCTACCTAAGTGAATACATATTTCTGGAGAAGAAAAATATCTATTTGTGGCCCTCCCGTATTATCTTTTTTAAACTGTTGCAAATTTTATTAAACAAATACACCAATACCAATACCTGCTACCTGTTCAAAAAAAATATTTTCCTAATCTTTAGTGTTTTTTAATAAAAGTTAGATACTCTACCTATGTAAATACATATTTTTTGGGCATAAAAAAAACTTCCTAAAATATGTTTTTATTTCTTTTAAACTGGTGCAAAACTTTCCAAACAAATACTTTAAGATCACTTACTATATTTGCATTTAAAAATGCACAAAGTAATATACAAAAAACTAATATTTTAAGTTAAAATACAAATAAGGTTAAGACAGTTATAATTTTTAGTTAACATTACTTAACAAAAATAATTATTTTAAATATTTGTTAATTTATGCAATTTTTAATATAAGTTACAGTCCCAAAGAACGCAAATATCAATTTTTTCAAAATTTGCAACAATATAATATTTTCTATTTCAAACAAAATTGTGAAGTTCCTGTAATTTTTTTCCACCCTTGGGTGCAAGCGCAAAATCGTACATTTGTGCACGTTTGTGCAACCGCACATTTGTGCACATTTGTGCACGTTTGTGCAGTCGCACATTTGTGCACATTTGTGCAAACGTAATATGAGCAGCACACTCGTGTGCAAAGACAATTTTTTGTCGCACAGTGCGGTGCGAGCATAAAATTTTCTCGCACATCTGATTGTGCACATTTTTGTAAATCAGTCGCACAGCACAAATGTGTGTGCATGAATCTGTGTGCACAATCATTGCTTTGTGCGATGTGAAATTTGAAATCGCACAACAAATTTGAGTGCGTGCATTTTTTTTCTTAACACCACAAATGTGCGTGTGCATATTTTAAAAACAATTTCCACTCGCACAGTGCAGTGTGCGATTTTGTGCACCACATTCCGAACTCTGGATACAACTCTGTTTTTGTGATTCTCGTTTTTAATAGTGAGTCAATAATTTAATTACTTTTAGTCTCAATTGATGTAGTAGGATCTTTGTTTACAACTTCATACATATTTTCATCACTAAATATCTCTGTCATATATTGGACATATTCTTCCTTGTATGAAATAACAGTAGATTTTCCCTTATCTGCTCTTGTCATAACAATGTTGTCATTATCCTGTATAGATTTTTTTCGTAATATTTATGTCTTTTTTCATACTATTGTTTTTACTAAGTTGTTGTCCATAATATTCATTCCTTTCATTATCAATTGGTCTAATTTATTATTGTTATACGGATGTTGTTGTATGCAATATTCAAAATCTTTGATGATAGTAATCATGTTGACATCTTTTTTTTTTCAAATTGTAGAGAAAATTTTGTTCCCATTCCTATAATTCTTTAGACTAGGGGTAGAAGTTCAATGTTAGAATAATTTTGAATAAATTCCTTACTATAATGCATCAACTTGTGTGAACCATAGTTCTGCATCGTGTTCACTAAACGTGTGTCGGTGTCAAAAATATGTAACTAGTTTGCCACAAAATGTATATTTTTTTTATTACAAATGAATTATTCACTAATTTTGACGTTAGTGTATCACAATCTCCTTCCACAACATACAGACTAAGCCGCCGTACTATTTTACTCATTGACGCTTGTGTAGCTTGTGAATAGCTTATCACTCTTAAGCAACTTGAAATTCGGTTTTATCGATCAAAGAGTTCTGAAACTAATTACCACATATTGAACGCCGGTGTATTATTCCATTTGAATTTCCTTTCCATCAATTTTTACAGGAACCATCATTCTTCCTACTGAGTGCATTAATTCTGAGTATTTGTTGAACTGGTTCCGGTTCATCCTCTGCTATTTGGTCTTATTTCGTTCTGCATACTTTGGCAACTGACCGACTTTCCCACACGCAAAGCATTTGGACTTACTGAATTTACACTCTCTTCTGAGGTGCTGATTTCCACATCCATAACAATTCGCTGTCTTTCTTTTGTTACCCGCATCGCTTTTCCATTGTTCTCACTAGTGTTTTTTTTTTATTGGAACGCAACTAAGCTTATATGTTGGCTCACTTGGTTGCTCTAACTCTGCACTCTTGTCGTCTGTTGTTGTTTTTTGCGCTCGCTCGAATGTATACGAAATTTCATATGTACTTCAGTAAAATTTTTTGGTTTTCTAATAACTATTTCATCACAAATAATGCGCGATTTAACCTTATATAGCAATTGCTATACCAGCATTCTATTTAAGAACTCTCCATACTACAGAATCTAGCACCGTCTTTTAAGCGAAGTACAAACTTGGAAATTGACTCTCTCTTCCCTTGTTTAATTTGCCAGAACCTAACGCTTTCAGCGTACTTATTCCATGTATCGTCAAAATGATGAATTAAAATATTTTTTGTTTCGTTGTATGTGAGCATGTCAGGTGCAGTTGGGCTATCGAGAATTTTAAGAGCATCGTTGAGTTCTGCTCCTTTGTGTACACGTACATACTTGCCTTGTTCGTCTTCCGGTATCTTGCTCAAACCTAGTGCCCAGTCCACACGCGTGAAAAAATCCTGCACTAAGGATCCTTCTCCGAATTTAAATTCTGCAATCTTAAATGATGGCTGTTTAGATGTCTGCACCGAACTTGCGTTTGAATTTGTTGAATTGTTAACAGCAGCGCCTTGCGCCGCTTCCGTCACTGCCTATCGAATCGGGGCCGCAAGTGATTTCGTCATGGCCTTCATATCGCTTGCTATGAGACTCATTTTCCCGATCCCACTTCTGACACCACATTTGTATTTCTACGTTATTTATTAATTCAAATTATAATAATACATTTGCTTAGTTTAACTTAATGCCTAAAAAACTACTAATACACACACTACTCAGTCAAAATGATAAACTGTGAAACTCCACAAAACTGTGTTGCCATATTGGTTCATACACAACACTAACTTAATGTTAAAGCTTGTTCTCGTATATTGTGATTTATTTCTATGCCTATATACGTTCTAACTTTACCCATATCTTTCATTTTAAATTAATTTGTTAAACTTTGTTTTACTTATGTGATTTCCGGTTGATTCTTACTACATATTAATAAGTCATCAACAAATAGAAGTATGTACGTCATTTGGTTTTCCATTATCTTTATGAAGAGACAATAGTCATAATTGCTTCTTTCAAAACCTAATTTCATAACGAATTCATTGAAACAATTGTACCATGATCTTGGGTTTTCTCTCAAACCATATAATGATTTTACTAACTTGCAAACCTTATTAGTTCCCTGTTCATACCCTTCTGGGTTATTTACTGCTTCATAAAAATTACCAGGGACGCTTGCGTCACAATTTACATATATAAAATTGGTTGCAGTTTCTTCATAACCGTATCTTAATACTGGATTTTTCTTTCTATTAGACTACCTAATTTCCACTTTTTTATTACTTTCGCTAGTCTCATTCACAATTTTATTACTAATAATTTTCTGATTATTTATATCGTCACAAAAACTCTACTTCCATATATTTTTAAGTGCTCTATGCTAGGTTTTTTATTGAACATTATTTTAAAAGTAGTTTTATATTCTAACATATTATAATAATAATAATATAAGCCGTATTCCATCAGGAACATAGACTATTTACATAAAATCGCCAAGTACTTCTGTTTAATGCTAAATGTCTCAATTCGTTAAATGATTTATTAGTTTCCTGTCAGATTGTTCTTCTCCATGTGGTGCGAAAAATCGGTTGACGACACCCCCAGATCGGTTTATTTTACTAAAAAAAAATAATCTGTGTAAAATTTTAGTTCAATTGGATAAGTGGAAATGGTGCTCCAAGAGCCCCAAAGATTGAAAAATAACGAATTTTTCCATAAAATTCATCTTTGATTGCTTATATCTCTGACATATTTAATTTTACATAAAAACTGTCTTTCTAAAAGTTATAGGCCTATTTAAAATAAACAATTCACTCATACAAAGTTTTTCTGTATTTCTAATAATTATTGTGAAATAGATAAAATAAGTCGAAGTCACCCGATTGCTAGCTTTACAAGTATATACTATGAATGTAATTGTCAGCTTTACAAATAATTTAATATTTCCTAAAAATTTAAAATAAATCCAATCTTTCTAAAATTTATTAATTCTAGTTATAAAAAAGTACTAATTTTAGGTTTCTCCGACATAATTTTTATTATTTTAGTTAAAGTTGCTGGAGCAAAGTATTCTTATTACAATTTGGAAAACGACGGCGGTAATCGTTAACAATTTTCAATATGTACTGTTTTTGATTCTTATTTTTTTTTTTAAATTGAATTATAGACCAGCAGTAGTTTCACTCCTCGCTCTGCCGTATCGTTTAGTACTTTCAAGCTTAAAAGCGTTTTCTTAGCTTGAATACAACTAAGGTCCTCATACCATTTTGTAGGACATGCTTTCAAAAAGTCATCGCACAACTTAAAACGATTAAAATGTTTTTAATATGTTTGCATACAAACTGTTCAACTCCCTTTTCGATCATTTCAGTTATTTTTGCACGATCTATTGATACTCTCTCGACGTCCATGTCATCACTTTCTATATTCAAATTCGAAACCATCTTTTTTTTGTTTTAGACTATATATTTGAATCAAAAAATGCCAAACCCCCCAACAAGCTCGGAGCTTAAATACCAAAGATGATTACATAATTTCTCCAAAGTAGCTTTAGATATATTTTCATCAATTTTTTCATATTGACTGAGAGTAGAAAGAAGATTGAAACCTTGGAATGGAGCTTTGATTGATGACGAAGCATTAAACCACACTTCAACATACACTTTAATAATAAACATACATATATCGCAAAGAGCATTTTCTTCTTCTGTAGACAATTTGAACTCTTTCCTAAATAAAAATATTTTTAATGCAGATATGGCTTTCGCCATCCATCTTGTATAACCCCAGCAGATTAAAACTGTATGCTGCAGTTCGGCTTTTCTCCTAAAAACATTAATGCAAGTTCCAGAAGTTCCCTATAATCATCTCTTGGTTGGTTATCCTTACGAATCTTATAAAGGAAACTTGTACTTAGTAACACATCATCTGTATTTAACGATTTTCTTTTTTATTTTCTAAGCTGACTGTAAAATTATCAACGTTTATTTTCGGCCAAAACTTCTGAAATCGTTGAAATATGTTATATTCTGGTGGTAGTGCTTTTACCATATAACGAAGTTTCTTTTGTTCGTCCAACTTCCCACTTGCAGCTAATAATGCATTTGCTTTTTCAAAATCATCAAAAAATATTGTTTCGTTTTCAAAATTTTTCAATTTAACATTTTCTACTTTGCTACGGCAAACTATCTGCAGAGCAGTTGATTCCTTCGAGTACATTTAATCGAATTTTTTCATTATTTCATAGCTTGTGTTTAAATGGCTAATACATTCTAATAATACAATCTAATCTAATTTGATATTGAACTGTATATATAGTTCGTAGCTCTAATATACTTTTTGTTCCAATCATCTTCTTTCTCGGATGCTAATCTTTGTCGCACAGTCTGCTCTCTACACTCTTTAAACTCTAGCAATTTAAGGATTTTTTTTCCAGCTTGCATACTCTGAGCCATCAAAAATTTAAATAAATACGTCGTCTACTTTTGCTTTGCGTACGACGCCATTGTTTCTTTTTCTTCTTGTGATTCTTTACTCTCTTCAGTAATAAGTTTTATTTCAGATCTTTCTTCTGGTTCTTGTTCCAATTAGTGGCACAATTTCACAACATTAGAGGATGCAGGTTCGCACAATGTCTTCAGAGTGTGAAGTGCGTGTCGTTTTAAAAACCCGGTTAACCAGCCAGTGCTTTCCGAAAATTTCAAGCTTCCAATGTGAGACCATGAACCAGACGGCTCTAAATTCTTCAACTCATTATAAAATCGCATTACTTTCTCTTTAATTAATTCTCCGTCAACTGGCATTCGTTTTTGATTTAATTGTTGAATCCACAATATAAGCGCCTATTCCATTTTCTATATCAAAATGTTTCACGAATAAGATGATCGTTTAGCAGCGCTATTATTTGTTGCAGAATTACTGGATGAATTTATTACACCTGCACGTTTTTGTATCCAAATTCTTTACCAACAGCTGTGGATCCTTGACCTTCTGCCAACCGTTCTAAATTTTAGTTTTGGTTTCCAAGGAAATAGACTACCTCTTAGTTTTGTTTTCGCCCTTATTCATTTTCAGTTATTATGTCTAAAAACAAAATATATATCATAAACATTTATATCTATATATAAAGACTTATCATAAGCCTTCAGTATTTTTAATTACAATAGACTTTAGAAGATTTTCTGCCGTAACTAGAAAGTTCATTTGGTCAGCGGAACCACTTAAGCCTAAAGTGCCTGTGCTGCTTGAGTTAAACATATTAAAAAGATTATTAAAAAAAGGAAAAATTCGGCTGTATTACTAAATAATAAACTTGGCTCCGTCAAGTTGGACCTAAAAAGTGTTCTCATTCATAAAGCAATTGTATTACTGAACACTTGAACCGCATTTTTTTGGATGCAGTTAAGTCTGACGTGAGCATTTGTTAAACGGGGTGCACAACGAATAGTTGATTTCAAATCTCTATTATAAAAATATGCTATTATTAAGAATATATAAGAATATATATAAAAATTAAGATAATAAAAATATGTAAAGAAAAATATAATTTCAAAATACTCAAAATTTATTTTTAAATTATAATTTAATGGATATACACAAAGAGGCAGTGTATTATAGAAAAGCAATTGTAGTATTATTGAATGAAGAAGAATACTTCTTCTTCTTTTAAACTTTAAAAAATGACGATGCTCGTCTACATTAACAACTTAACTAATCTAATATAACTGGGCCAGTACAAAACAGATTATCAAGGAAAGGGAAAATCAAATGCGGCTGGTGTACTGGGTAAACTTTCCAGGACTCAGACAAAGCAAAGCACTGATAACACTGTATTCCTACAAAGACATTCTTAAATTCTCAAAATGTAATTTAAGTTTGATAACGGGTTTCAGTACAGATCCTTATGGTCTGAAATATCACCTTCATAAACTACAATTATCTGCTAACTCGGAATGCAGATTATGCCTCGAAGATGAGGAAACGACCATGCACATTCTTTGTGACTGTCCAGCTTTAATAACGCACAGAAGAAACCTCTTTCATATGAAATTTCTGTGACCCGAGCAGATTAAGAGCTCTTCTCTAGATTCAGTTCTAGATTTTGTTTACAAAGCTTTAAAGAGCTTTGTGTAATCAATAGTGAAATTGCTACAATAGGACTCTTCAGGCCGCAGTACCGGCTGTTGGGTAATTTTCACGTCTACTTTTATTAATAATAATACTCTGATCAAAATGACAAAATGACAATGGAAAAATGGCGATTAAGTTTATACTCTGAAGTTTCACCAAGGCTATAAAACTGCTGTGAGTTAAGCCGGAAGATTTTGGCTAACTTGATTCGAAATCACGTAAACTACGTTCACGTCAAAAACCTTAGTCTTTAAGTGTACATCATGCCTGTATCCATTTGGATGACGATTGGCAACTTTTTACACATACTGCAAAGCTGTTCTATCAAAACTTTGCCCTGATTCCTGTGCCATATTATGTATGGTTTTATGTTCTGTGTGAGATTTAAATAACTTCTTTTTTCCTT